ACAAAGAGTTGGGCATGACTGAAGAACTGAATGGAATTGAACTGCACTGAACCATAGTTGCTATGGTCTTCTGCCCCTCCTCAAGCTCTCCTACTCTAGCACCTATCTCAGTGAATTACTGGTTCTATGTTGTGGTGCACTTAACATCTTTGTCTCCCTCCTGATCATCTTCAGCTCCTACATCTTCATCATTTCCAGCAGCATCCACATTTGTTCCACAGAGGGCAGGTCCAAAGACTTGAGCACATGCCACTCCCGCATCTCAGATGCTGTTTTCTATGAATCTGCAGCATTCATATGCCTGAAGCCATCACCTGTGAGATCCATGGACCAAGGGAAAATGTCCTCTGTGTTTTATACTATTGTTTTGCCCATGCTGAATCCCCTTATTAACGGCCTCAGGAATAAAGATGTCAATGTGTTCCTGATGAAAATACTTGACAGAAGAATATTTTTGTGATCATACACATAACATGAACATGATATTTTAGATCTAGTCTTTGCTTATTATCTTGTATGGATATATGATTCTCTTCAAAATCTTTACCAGAGCTTACAATGTGAGTTAAGATCTCCTTCATGCTTTGTAACATTGCTCAAACCAGTATGCCTCCTACTATACCATTTGTTGTTTTGGGTGTGTACTTGCCTGCTTATTGTCCAAAACATACTTTACTGTAGTGTTCATGAAGATTATCCACATGCATGTATTTCATTGCCATATCTGCAGGACATAAGATAGTTCCTGCCACTAGAAACACCTTGATAATTTTCTTATTTTCTTTTAAAAAATATTTATGGGAAGCCATATAGATTTCATATTGTCTTTTTTCATTACTTTCTCCAATTAGCTACATAGGAATTTTAAAAGTGAAAATTAATTAAATTTATGTTTGAAGAGTTCTTCAAAATCTGCAGTAAAACTGATGACATCCTAAATTATTTCTATACAAAAATTTAGAAGCATGAACTTGAGTACCTTCTGTATCAAACCCGAGTGCAGGTAAGATAACTTGTGAACACCTGATTTCTTAAGTCATTGAATAAAGTCAGAAATGCAAAATCCTTGAAGCAAAACTCTTGGTTATCAAGCATACAACATACATGATTTTAAAAATAATATGCATATTTGTTATCTGATGGGTCAACACAGCAAATCTGGAGATACAGTGGAACCTAGAACTCGAACACTCCAGTCTAAAATACCATGGTTTCCCATACCTATACTGGAAAAAAACTTCAGCTATATTAACATTGAGAAAATTCTTAGTGTGTAGAATTTTATCCATGTAAATTATAGTTCAATAAATTTAGTTTAAAAATTAAAAAAATATATGAGTTATATATACTGTTGCACTCAGAGTTGTGGATCTTCCTAGATTGCCACGTTGAACCAGGAAATGATTTTTTTTTATTACTCTATATGTTAATTAAATTTTTTCACATTAAGTCACATATCATATGTCTATATTATTCCTCAATATTTCTTTTATTTATAGAGTTAGATAAATTCATTAACTTATTCTACTTGTTAGGAAATTTTCATGGGGTAATGGCAGCAACCAGTTGAAACCTTCCTGCAGCCTAGCATGTTAAAATATTTCAAGTACTACTATTTTATAAATGTTTCATGGTATCTAAGTATAGTTAAATATAGGCCAGTGAGAAAAAATCATTCAACTATTGCACACAAAGATTTTTTTCGATTTTTTGTTTATCTCTTGTGTGAAATCACTTTAGAATGTTCCTTTAATACAGGTCTTAAATATTTCCTAAAATTTTGAATTTTTATATAGCTTGACAGGAAATTCACCGGAGTTCTGATAAGATCTATCACAGCCTTGCTTTCAACCTATAATCTAACAAAAACTGATAAATTGCAATGATATGACACTATTAAACACCTGAGAGTCAAAGGAAGAATAGGGAACTGCTAATTGCAACTTATCCCAAGAGTTGATACTTGTGGGATATGATCCTAATGGGAGATCATTAGCATTATCTGTTCCTCATCTGACTCTTAGCATCTATACTTAGAGTATAAATCACCATTTATACCAACCAACCTTTGCAGAGGGCCATTGACTTCAACAGAATTCAGAACCAGTGACCCAAAAATTTTACAACAGTATCTTCTAGGTTATGACACTACAAGAAGAAGTCCTACAAGGTTAGTACTCACAACTATCCACCTGCATCACCAGACCATTATTCCATTCAGAGAAATAAAGGAGAAGAATACACAGCACTGGTGTACTGGGGAGCAAGAGGGATGTATTTGAATCCCAGTCCTGGCCTTTAAAAAGTTAGATCTTCTGATCTAGCTCCCTAACAGTGCACTAATAGATGCGAGTAGTTATTTTTCTGTCTCTATCTGTCCTCACTCTAATATTCACACTCCCTGAGTAGCGAAGGTTCCTTTATCATCTCTCTGTCTCTGCTGGAGAAAGTTATGGCCAGTATTTCTTTGTTTACTCACCTCCACTCAGGCAGTGTGAGAGCTTTGTTCACTTGTGTTGGAGTCTATGTTAACTTATTACTACAATACTTTCAATAATTTTATTAAAAAATCATATTTGTTGATACTTGCATATAAGACATTGTGCCAAGCACTGTATTGAGTTTACAATCTAGTACAGAAGAAAAGCCCATAAGTAACTCATAATAATTGATACAGAATTAAGCATGTACTAAATGTAAACATGAGGAAGATATCCTCAGCACATAGAAAATGGTCTTATTTAATTGGGGTTTCCATTATTAAAGTCCTTAACTTAAGGGCCCTAGCTATTCAATAGATTTCATCAGATACACTGGGAATGTGTGAGAGAAGATGAAGAAACATAATGAGTAAAAAAAAAAGAGATTCTACCAAATGCTGTTTTGTGGAATAGTTAAATCATGTGATACCTGGTAGGACACAAAAATAAAATATTTTGCTGTTGGGTGAATTAAAATCATTGAATGACAGAAATTTATTCCAACTTTATTTGGAGACCTTTGAAAATGTTGATATTTAAGAGTTAACATTGAGTAAAAATTCCAAATTTCAGTATCATTTTGTATATTTAGGTAGAACGGAGGAACCAGAAAATGTCTTAAGGAAAGAAAAAAAAAATCCCAGCCATCATAGCAGGAATGAAAATGCCACTGAAACAAAAGATAAAATAGGAGGCAACTCAATAGATTAAAATTCAAATAACAATGACAGTAATAGGGTCTTTCCAAGGGTATGGGACTGTGCTAAACATTTCATAGGAATCAGTATTGTGAATTTACACAGAAGGTAGATTTTAGTGTGTCTGTTTTTCAGAAAGTTGGAGAGTAGACATATTATCTAAAGATCACACAGCAAGAATGGTGTCGATCTGAGACGTCAATCCTCTACTGTCTACCATAATCAGGATCCATTAGAATGAAGATAATAGAAGTAAATCTAATCCAACTACCCATTAGGTGTGTCCTTAAAGAATATTTGTACGCATGTGGTTATTCAGTCTGTGCTCCAACTTTTATGACAGTCGGCTCGGGTGTGTCTGCTGATAGGGATGTTTGTCTTTGCTGTGAAACCAAATATTTCTTCCCACAGTTTGAAGCAGTTAATTTTACCCAATCTCTTGAATGTATACAATAAGTTGAGCACCTCTCTCTGCCATGTGATGAACATTGAGATAATTTTCCTTTGCCACATGAATTTTTGCCTTGCTAGAAAATAATATCCTTGGTTGTTTTAGCCATCTTAAAACAATTGATTTCTTGATGATATTTAAGAAACTGTGCAGCTTTACCTGTATCACACACAGTATTTTATTTCAAACTGAACACAATAGCCAAATACTACTTCAGTGTTAATATGAATTTCTATGTTCTAGAGCCTACTCATTTCCTTTCCAAATCTTAACTAAAGGTACACTGGTCTTTAAAAAACACATCACACTGTTGACTAGTATTGAATTGATGTTAAAATTACTTATTTTATTTTGAATGTAATTTTTTCATCTGCATCTCTCCCATCTTTGAATTCTATTGAGAGCACATGCAAAATGCATGACTATATTTTTAAAAGCTCGGCATATCAAACACCTAGTGTTTGTGTTCAAATGCATTTTACGATTTGGAGAATAGAAACATTTTCTCACCTCCACCATTTAAATCATGAAGTCCAAATTGCACAGATCAATCTTGGTACACTGATGCCATAGTCACTGTGGTGGACTATGTGACTTGAACTTAGGGCATTATACTCCCACTCCTAACATTACCCAAATTAGAATAAGAATTGTTCCTGGGGTGGAAAAACCTATGGAGGTACAAGCATGATGTCTGCCAAGCAGTTACATTTCTGTCCTCTCGTGTAAAAGTCCAGGGAGAAGGAAAATGGAACATTAAATCATCAGATCTCAGGTGAATGACACTGGTCATCACATTTCAGATATTTTCAGTTGAGATGTTACTAAAGAAGACAGCCCCAACTAATATAACTACTTTCCACAGACTTGTGAATCCTCTCTGTGTTAATTACAGAAAGCCTATACAACTATTAATTATTATAAATGAAAGGAAAATACTATGCCATTCAACAAACATGAAATTAATATATAAACATAGAAACTTGGAGGAAGGAACAGTACTCAGAAATAATACTAGAAACGTTCATGTTTACTAACTTTAAAAATCCATAAATTGTTGTTTCTTTTAAACTTTATGAAATTTCTTATTTGTAAATTTCTTGATGTTTATAATTTCTTTTATAGCTCAACCAGATTAACTACTTGTCCTCGAGTAGCAAGAGATACTGGAGATATCCCTGCCTTATGTATGTCCTCTGCTGAAAGATAAAGAACGAGCTCCATAGAATTACTCTCTGCCTCTCTCTCTCACACACAAACATACACACGTGCATAAACCTCTCTCTCTCACACACACACACACAAATATATACTCATTTTATGATTTTTGTTTTGTTTTGTTTTTTAAACTTAGAACCTGTTGAAAAGATAATGGACCCTAGAAATCACAGCTCAGTGACTGAGTTCATCCTCGCTGGGCTCACAGAACAGCCACAACTCCAGCTGCCACTTTTCCTCCTCTTCCTAGGAATCTATGTGGTCACGGTGGTAGGGAATCTGGGCATGATCACACTGATTGGGCTCAGTTCTCACCTGAAAACCCCCATGTACTATTTCCTCAGCAACTTGTCCCTTGTTGATCTCTGTCAGTCCACTGTCATTACCCCCAAAATGCTGGTGAACTTTGTGACAGAGAAAAATATCATCTCCTATCCTGAATGTATGACTCAGCTCTATTTCTTCATTCTTTTTATTATTGCAGAGAGCTATATGTTGTCTGAAATGGCATATGACCGCTATGTTGCCATCTGTAACCCCTTGCTTTATAATGGCATCATGTCTTATTATAGGTGCTTCCAGCTCACAGCAGCAGTTTATATCTTGTGCATCATTCAATCGACATTCCATACTTGCCTTATGTTGAGACTCTATTTCTGCAAGGCCAATATTATTAACCATTATTTCTGTGATGTTTTTCCACTCATGGAGCTATCCTGTTCTAGCATCTATTTCAATGAGTTATTGGCTCTAGTCTGCAGTTCTTTCAATGTCCTGATTCCTGCCTTGACTATTCTTATCTCCTACATCTACATCCTCTACAAAATCTTCCACATCCACTCCACGGAGGGCAGGTCCAAAGCCTTCAGAACTTGCAGTTCCCATATCTTGGCTGTTGCTGTTTTCTATGGATCTGCAGCATTCATGTACCTGCAGCCATCATCTGTGAGCCCCATGGACCAAGGGAAAGTGTCCTCTGTGCTTTATACCTGCATTGTTCCCATGCTGAATCCTTTGATCTACAGTTTGCGGAATAAGGATGTCAAGTTGGCCCTGAAGAAAATTCTGGACCTTGGGAAAATATAGATGAATAGACTCAATGTTGGGATCATATCAGAAATAAACTTTGTTTTGCTGAGATATACAGTGTTTTAGTTTTATTGTTCAAGTTTTTGGAAATTCAGGATCATTTCCCCATACAATACATTTCCCAAATTCCTTCCAGGCTAGTTCCTTTGAATTTGTGTTATATTGATTATGTATGGAGAAATATCAAGAATAATGTCAGAAACTCTTGAGAATTACAGAAACTCCAGTGCAATATAAAAAATACAAATAACAAGAATATGATGATCATCATAATGTAATAATGTATTATTATTGAGATAGTATAAAATAGCAAGCATTTTACATTAGACAACTTCCTCTAATATTTATGATATCTCTCAAAGCAAGCCTAGTATTGTTTCCATTTGAAAGATGAATTAATTGAAACTTGTTTACTTTGAGTAAATGCCCATAATCCCAAACTTAATAAAGACAGAGGCTAGAATGGAACCAGGCTTCAGGAACTGTGATTTTACTCAAAATAATCTATTGCCCCAGGTAATTGTGGGTAAATGTAAGGTCTTCCCAATAATTTCCTTCTACACATTAAGCTTCTACTTTTCCTGTGAGATTGTATTTCTTTATGCTAGATCTTCAATGTGATGTTCACTTTTATTTCATTTGATTTAATGAAAACAATCAAAATATTTCAAACTTGTGTTGATTAAGCAAAAAGACCAAATGCAGAGTTAATACAGAATCTTATGATAAGACTTATCAAAGAGATTCCAATTATCATGTTCAATACCAACAGGTTTTCTTAAAATTGCCCAATATATTTTTATCTTTAAACCATTAATGCTATACTGTTTATGTAAAGGGCTTCCCTGGAGGTTCAGTGGTAAAGAATACAGCTGCCAATGCAGGGGATGTGGGTTCAGTCCTTGGGTGAGGAAGATACCCTGGAGAGGGAAATGCCAACCCACTCCAGTATTCTTGCCTGGGAAATCCCATGGAGAGAGAAGCCTTGCAGGCTAGAGTCCACAGGGTCACAGAGTGTCCATCCAACACAACCTTACCACTAAAGTACAACAGTAAATTTATGTTAACAACTGCTCATAATAAACCAAAATTATGTAAGTTGTATCACTTTCATGAGGTTCATAAACTTTTGCCATGGAAGTTATAAACAATTGCTGTTTCTTGTCAGTTTTATGTTGGAAACATCTTTTCTCTCCCCTCATATTGGTCTTTTCTAGCTTCTGGGCATTAACATCTGGTAAGTATAAATTCACATGAAACTGTAAATATCCAATTGTCTTCTGCCTCTTCTCAGTTCAAACCCTCTTACTCATTACTGACAGATCAAAGTTCTTTGGGTAGTGTGCTGCCTTATTCACCTGCAGTGTCCAAATATACCACAAATAAATAAAACATAATTTTACTTACCAGGCATGTATTTTAATACCCATTCTTTTATCAATGTCAATTATTCATTTTCAATTATTTCATATTATTTTACTTAAATTTCATATTATTTGTTTTATATTTTCATATTATTTGACTTAATTTTCATCAGTACTATAAAAAGAAGGTAAAATGGGTACAATTACAAATAGGCATAATTTTTAGTCTGCTCTATATAGTCCAGAATATATATAAATCAGCTAAATCAGAACATATACCCTGTCTGAACTGAAACAATGGCTTCTATGTGTCTCCTCAAATTTTTAATTTCTGAATAATTATAAGAATGATCTGTTTACTCCTTGTTTACATTCTTTCTATATCTGACTTTTACCAAACTCCAGCTCTCTTTCTCACTCATTTTACTTGGCACACTGAAGCAGCTTCAATCATCGTCTGTTCACTTTTAAGGTGGCATTCCAGACACAGTATTCTTCTCCGAACATGTCAGAATCCTGCAGCCACAGCAAACCCTTAGTTAAAGATTTTCAATACATGGGTATGGTGGATTCTCCTTGAATCTGAAAGAACTCCAGTGAAAGGCACCCAAAACAAGAGATCCTCTAGCATCTTGTTTCTCAGAGTGGTTGATAGATGAGAAATAGTGGAAAAATATGAGAGATTTTATTTAAAATGTATAATCTCAAGCCATACACGAGACTTACTATCAGAATCTGCTTTTGATCAAGATCCTTAGGTTATTCCCGTGCACATTAAAAGTTGAGGAGCTTTTGAAAAATATTGATATCTGACCTCACATGCTAAAATTTTGACTTAATTGGTATAGTGTTCACCTTCGATATTGAAATTAAGGAAAATTAAAACACTCCCTTGATAATTTTTTAAACGAGTATCTAAAACTGAGAAGGACATGCTTCCCTTGTGGTTCAGCAGGTAAAGAACCTGCCTAGCATGTGGGAGACCTCGGTTCGATGTCTGGGTTGGAAAGATCCCAGGGAGAAGGGAAAGGTTACCCACTCCAGTATTCTGGACTGGAGAATTCCATGGACTCTAGAGTCCATGGGGTCACAAAGAGTCAGACACAACTGAGTGACTTTCACTTTCAATGTAACAAAAGTATAAATTTTAAAAATAACTGAATCTTCTTATATTTAACTATAAGATCTCTCAACTTGAGTGTGCAATTTACCTTGACTCAATCATTTTATGTATACTTCCAAATTTCCTATTTTAGAATAAAAATTGAAAATCTGATATATAAGAAGCATGAAACATAAGTGCCTATTAAAACAGTTTATATATGTAACTTAGAAGCTAGAATCATAAACAGTAAGCACCTAAAATATAAAAAATTAAGCCAATATTCTGAATTCCTACCCCATAACTTTAAATCCAATAACATATAGATTTCACTTTGAATTAATATGCATATTACATATTTACACATAAAATGGATTAAATACACTTTTGTACAAGGATGAGTGATTTGTTCATCATTTTAAAATTTGTTGCCACATTAACATTAAGATAACTTGTCCGAATGTTGCTTGATCCTCTAAAACCTTTTATTCACAGAGTGAACTGGGAACTGGTAGCTCTGGCTGGAAGCCTGTAAAGATGCAGAATCTGTAGGAATTTTACAGTTTCTGGTCTTACATTTAGATCTTTAATCCATTTGGCATTTATTCTTGTGTATGGTGTTAGAAAGTGTTTGAGTTTCATTATTTTATTAGTGGTTGAACAGTTTTCGCAGCACAACTTGTTAAAGAGATTGTCTTTTCTCCGTTGTATATTCTTGCCTCCTTTGTCAAAGCTAAGGTGTCCATAGGTGTGTGGATTTATTTCTGGGCTTTCTATTTTGTTCCATTGATCTATATTTCTGTCTTGGTGCCAGTACAATACTGTCTTGAGGACTGTAGTTTTGCAGTATAGCCTGAAGTCAGGCAGGTTGATTCCTCCAGTTACATTCTTCTTTCTCAAGATTTCCTTGGCTATTCAAGTTTTTTGTATTTCTATACAAATTGTGAAATTATCTGTTCTAGTTCTATGAAAAGTACTGTTGGTAGCTTGATAGGGATTGCATTGAATCTATAGATTGCTTTCCATAATATTCTCATTTTCACTATACTGATTCTTTCAATCCTTGAACATGGTATATTTCTCGATCTATTTGTGTTCTCTTTGATTTCTCTCATCAGTATTTTATAGTTTTCTATATATAGGTCTTTTGTTTCATTAGGTAGATATATTCCTATGTATTTTCTTTTCGTTGCAATGATGATTGGAATTGTTTCCTTAATTTCTCTTTCTGTTTTCTCATTGTTAGTGTATACGAATGCAAGGGATTTCTTTGTGTTAATTTTATATCCTGCAACTTTACTGTATTCATTGATTACCTCTAGTAATTTTCTGGTGGAGTCTTTAGGGTTTTCTATGTAGAGGATCATGTCATCTGCAAACAGTGAGTGATTTACTTCTTCTTTTCCAATCTGGATTCCTTTTATTTCTTTTTCTTCTCTTATTGCTGTGGCTAGAACTTCCAAAACTATGTTGAGTAGTAGTGATGAGACTGGGCACCCTTGTCTTGTTCCTGACTTTAGGAGGAAATGCTTTCAATTTTTCATCATTGAGGATAATATCTGCTGGGGTTTATCATATATGGCTTTTATTATGTTGAGGTATATTCCTCCTATGCCTGCTTTCTGGAGGGTTTTTATCATCAATGGATATTGAATTTTGTCAAAGGTTTTCTCTGCATCTATTGAGATAATCATATGGTTTTTATCTTTCAATTTGTTAATGTAGTGTATCACATTGATTGATTTTTGAATACTGAAGAATCCTTGCATCACTTGGATAAAACCCATTTGGTCATGATGTATGATGTTTTTAATATGTGGTTGGATTCTGTTTGCTAGAATTTTGTTGAGGATTTTTGCATCTATGTTCATCAACGATATTGGCCAGTAATTTTTTTTTCTTTTTTTTTTTGGTAGCATCTTTGTCTGGTTTTGGTATTAGGGTAATGGTGGCCTCATAGAATGAGTTTGGTAGTTTACTTGCCTCTGCAATTTTCTGGAACAGTTTGAGTAGGACAGGTGTTAGCTCTTCTAGGCAAAACACTCTCTGGCATAAATCACAGCAGGATCTTCTATGACCCACTTCCCAGAGTAATGGAAATAAAAGCAAAATTAAACAAATGGGACCTAATTAAACTTAAAAGCTTTTGCACAATGAAAGAAACTATAAGCAAGGTGAAAAGACAGCCTTCAGAATGGGAGAAAATAATAGCAAACACAGCAACTGACAAAGAATTAATCTCAAAAATATACAAGCAGCTCATGCAGCTCAATTCCAGAAAAATAAATGACCAAGTCAACAAATGGGCCAAAGAACTAAACAGACATTTCTCCAAAAAAGACATACAGATGGCTAACAAACACATGAAAAGATGCTCAACATCACGCATA